CCCATAAACAGCATCCACAGTTCTTTTGGTTTTTATTTAGGAAATTAGTTAGCCTCCTGAAGGCTCAGTACCGTGCACCTCGTGTTTTTCACCCAAACAAGCCCTAACACAAGAAAAGCAATTTGACAATGTACATTACAGTAACAAGTGACTCTCTGTCTCTCAGACTTTAAAATAGCCTCTCTCTCTCACCCAGTGGAAAGCTGGCACTCCAAAATTCAAATAGTCCAGAAATGGGGCTTTTCTCCCATAAAATGTACAGTGCAGGTAGCTGCTGTTTCCCTGCAAAAAGTTACCTATTAATTTGAATATTCTTGAAGTTTGCTTCAGAATTTTATCTGAAAAAGATTCATAGTTCCCTCATATGCGCGAACGTCTGTGGTTGCACTCAAGTCATTATGACAGCCGTTGGGTCACTGGAGCCACATCATATCACAGCAATAATGCACAGCAACACTAAATTGAAATCGAACATGCAAATTGGAAATAACCACTTAAGACAAAATGACTTGAAGTGGAGCATCTTAAAATGAGAACTTACTCTAACTGTCAATGTTAATTGCTTTCTCTGCGTTAATTGAATGGGGCTGGTTGGATTTTACTGAAAGTTTCTTGCATCACTTCCGATTTCCTCTTTGGGTATTTCAGTACCATGCATGGTGTCTTGTAAGACAAATTGTAGAGTCCACCACTATTATGGATTGTAGCAGTTACTTCAGCGCAGACCAAGAACTGAACCTTGGATTTTTCTGATCAAACTGCTACATCATTACAAAGTGTATTCATCAACAAAACTTTTTAGGAAGGATTTGCCACAATGCATTCAACTGAATGGACTAATCTTTTGGCCCCAACAAATTTGGACACTGATGTGCATAAGGCTGAAAAATATTGGTGCCAGCAAGATGCTGTTTTTCCAGCACCAACCTTTTTGATGAAGGCAGATTCAGGCCTTGGGAGGGCTGCCTGTCCTCTTCAAATAGGCAGTGGAGCAAAGTCATTAAGAGCCTATATAACAGTAGTTGAAGGAGACTAACTGGAATTTTCCAGCTGGCTTCTGGTATCCTGACATGACGGGACAGGGGAGGATTTAGTTTAATGCTTGGAGGCATGCACTCAATTCCAGGTTGGGATGCCAGCACTTCAGCCACACTTATTAGAATTCCCAGCCTGTGTGCAAGCGTAGCCAAAGGTCACCCTGTAAAGGCATTTCTCCCTCTAACTCCACAGTACTGGCATGACTGTTTTCTCTGGTTTTAATCTGAAGTTTTCAAAATGTTGATGAGGTGGTACTTTCATATTGAAACATCATCAACTAATTCTCCTTTTTACTGCAGCTTGCTGCAATCAGAATGTCTCCGATACACTCTGTAGCTTGGCGAGGCAATGGTCTAGTGATATTTATCACTGGACTGTTAATCCAGAGACCTAGGTGATGTTCTGAGTAGCTGGGTTCAAATCCAGTCACAGCAGATGGTGGAATTCAAATTCAATAAAAATCTGGAATTGAGAATCTAATGATGACTGTGAATCCATTGTCGATTGTCAGAAAAACACATCTGGTTCACTAATGCCTTTTAGGGAAGGAAACTGCCATCCTTACCTGGTCTGGTCTACATGTGACTACAGACTCACAGCACAGGGTTGACTTTTAACTACCCTCTGGGGAACCCTCATCCCGTGAATGAATTAAACAAGAAACACACCACCTGCCACTCTTAACTGTATAGGGAATCTGTGTCTGTAATAATTGAGGGGGGTGCGCCATTTAATATCTGGGATAGTGGTTTTTTTTCCATCTAGAAGTGGGTTTAGAACTTGGTCTTGCACTGGCCATTATTGGGAAGAAAAATGTAAGGGATCATTTTTTGATAATTTTACTGATCACGAAAAGAGATTACTTGAACTTTCAGAAATCCGGTAAATATAAAATGATTGGAAAAGTAGTCTTTTATTTTTGGTATGGGGAGGTTTGGAACCAGAAACAGTCGAAGCAGCTGTTTCCTGTCCCTGAAGTGAAACTTCAGCTCAGCGTGGCTGAATATAAATTATCATCATGTGCAAGTTGCTCATAACCAGAATAAAGTTTGTACTGGTGTACGTAGCACGTTCAGATAGTTCAGAGCAGTGAAAGTATGTCTTGGAAACCATAGTACATTCACTGGAATTGCATTAACCCTTTGATGCTGAAAGTACTACTTTACTTAACGAGAAATTTATTAGTTTAACAGTTTGCAATGTAATATTTTGAGTTTTAATGCAATCAACTATTTTTAAAGGGTCATCTTCATGGCGAAAAGATGAAAGAAGCCAACCACAGAGCTGCTGTAAAAATTTTGAAGCAAGTGAATGTGTCCTTACTTCCTCAAAATGTTTTAGACCTGCATGGCCTTCATGTAGAAGAAGCCCAGTACCACCTGGAAAAAGTGCTATTTGAGAAGATCGATGGTAGGTCACTTGTATGATGCGTATGGTCAAAAGAAATTAAGGGAATCAGCCCCTGGAAAGACAAGGAAAGTCGCCGTGTTCACTGTGTGTCGGTGATATGGCACATCTCTAATTAAAATGTTGGCAAAATGTTATAGCTTGAGCTTTTGCTCGTCTGATTCTGGTCTCTTGCATATCCTCTATTTTAATGGCTCCAATTAGTAATCAAAGATTATCTGCATATTTAAAGGTTGTGATATTAAAGTAAAAATCAGCTACAATCTTAAGACCTTAAGAATTATGAGCAAAAGCAAGCCATTCAGTCCATTGAGTTCTCTCTATCAATCAATGAAATCATAGCGAATCTGATAACGCTCAGTTCCAATCTCCTGCCTTTTCGTTATAACTCTTAATTCTTTGTTGATTAAAAATCTGTACATCTCAGCCTTGACTATACTTAATGGTGCAGGCTCTACAGCCTCTCTAGAGTAGAAAAATTCTTGAGTGGTGAAGCATGCTTGAAGGACCGTTTGAACAATTCGTGCTGATTTCTTACATGCAGATACTCGTGGAAGTTGACTTAATGTAAGAAACAGGATTCAAAATAATACAAAACATTACAAAATTAAAAGGCAACTCACACTTTACCAATGTCCTACAAAGGCTAAGAAGAAATATAGAGTTTTGATGCGTATTCGGCTATTATGATGATGGAATGGATTTTTTTTATCAGATTTGTACACAGTAAAGAATGGTGATACAGTTACTCATAAATAAAGAAAATAACCTGCATTTGGGTAGCAATGAAATCCCAAAGCATTTCACAGCCAGTGAGGTATTTTCGAATTCTAGTTTTTTTTGTAATGTAGGGAAATGCAGCTAATTTGTGCACATCAAATCTCATACAGGAACAAAAGTAATTGATCAAATAATTTATTCTAGCGGCATTATTTGAGGATTTTATTTGTGCACAGGCTATGTAACATTAGCTCAAGATACGAGTCATGACCTTAGTTTACTATCTCCTGCAAGAGATGGCACTTCTACCAAAACAACACTTCCTCAGTGCTGCACTTAACTATTGGTCTATGTCATGTGTTCACATCTCTAGAATAAGGCTTCAACCCTTTCTAACCCAAAAATGAGAATGCTAATGTTGAACGACGGTTGAGATAGTTAAAATTTTAGCATTATCATGACTGCTGATTAGATTAAGTTGAATATCTTTGTGCTTATCTTATTGCTGCTTCTGGAAATAATTTAAATTAAATGAGTTGATGAAAAAGATTTTAGCTGAGCCCATCTGTCTGAGAGCCTAAATGAACTCCTAGCATATGTAACACTCAACAAAAAAAGGACCATTAGAATTCTTGAAGACCATTGTTTAATTGTTTATGCATTTCCTATTTCTTAAAGTGACAAGAACTGCTTCAACTTTTACATTTGTTTGTTTCAGAATACCAACGAAAAGGTGGTAAATCTTACCTGACTGTCATAACTGGAAGGGGAAGCCATAGCCAAGGGGGAATAGCACGTATTAAACCAGCTGTTATTGACTACCTCAAAAGCCACAACTTCAGGTACATTTAGGCTGTATATCTATTTTAACTTTCATTCTATAAGAAGCTTAAAGAAATGTTTTAGTAGACCCACTCACTGTCAATCATTTTAAATCTCATTTTCTATTTTCTGCCAAGTCAATAAGAATAGAAGAGTCCTTTTATGAATCAGCAATACATTGTCTCTGTTCTTCAGTGTGCAACCATCACCTCTCATAAATCTAATGGGATTAGACTCCTATTTCTGAAAAAAAAGTGCAGGAACAATCAAGCTGATTTTAAATAAATTATATTTAATATTTTCAATTTCAAAATTGTGTGATCTCAATTTCTCAAATTGCACTGTTGCAAAGCACTGAAGCAAACAATACAGTGCTGAGTCCTTACTCTTTGGTTAAGAAAAGCAAAGATTGCAGGATAATGCTGTTGTGGTGGACTTGCTTTGTCCTTGGAGTGATTATGGAGAAGGCATTGTTTTCAACTGCTCCCAGAAACTCTCTTTTCTTCTTCCTCAGTCATTCCCAAAAGTTGAATCAAACCATGCAATAACTTGGTGTTCAATGCTGCTCCGCATCCTATAAATCACAATGCAACTTATTTCAACCATCACACTTTTTTCAGTCACAGCTCCTTTTTCACTGAAATCCTTAACCATGCTTTGTCATCTCCAATCTTTTCCTCACTGTCTTCTCATGTTCCTTCCTCCAAAAGCTTTAAACTTCCAAAATGCAGCAGTCCAATTACTGAACTAATCTAAATCTAACTGCCTGTCCCCCTTAGCCTCAATACCTATATTATTTGTTTACCCTAAGCATATGATATTTTACGCTTGTTCTCCTCTGAATTCCTTCACAGCTATATAACATTCTCCAATCTTGTACCCATAACCCCACACTGACTTTTGGCTGTTGACAGAATGGTCTTGTAGTGACCATTCTCGGTGGCATGGGTAGTGAAATCCATTGAAAACATACTGATTATAAAAATAAACTGCTAAAGCTTTCAGCAAAGCTGGTTAATCTAATAGATTTGGAAAAGTAGGCTTGTTTTTTGGAACAACGTCTGCTGTTATGTTGCAGTTCAAGTGCTTAATCAAATGCATCAATTTGTATTTGATCTTAATTATTTAAAATATAGCATCTTCGGCTATTAAACGCAACGATGCTTGGGTGTACCATAAGAAAGTCTTACATTTAAATAACACCTGTCACAACCTCAGACATTCCAAAGCACCATGTAACTAACTAATTAAGGTTAAAGCATAGAATGTAGGTGAGAAGGCATTCAATTTTTGTCAAGCAAACTTCCACAAAGAGCATTGCAGTAATGATCAGATTGTCTTTTATGATGTTGATTAAGGGATAAATATTGGCCATGGTACTGAGCACACCTCTTAATCAAAATAGTGTCACATGCTTTTACATCCAACTGAGACTGCAGACAGGACCTTCGTTTTTAACATTTCTAAAAGATAACCCCTCTGATTGTGCAATATTTCATTTACACTGCACTGGAGTATCAGCCAAGTTCATTATAAGGTTGTTGACTTGCTTGCTGAGCTGGCTTGTTTTTGTTCAGACATTTCGTCACCATGCTAGGTGACATCATCAGTGGAGCCTCCGATGAAACGGTGTTATTCTACTCTGCTTGGAATTTATACTGTCCGGCCCGTTATG